AACCGCTCAGCAGGGTTGCATTGGGGGTGGTATGGGGACGTCCATGAGTGTCCGACACCTGACAGTCGCCCAAGAGTGCGAAAAAGGTCGTTCTTGAACTCAATCATGGGTGTTTTGGATGGGAGTTGTGGACCCTTAGGCTTGCAATGAAGTGGGAGGAGTTGGGGCATGGAGGACTTAACTTGGAGCAGCTCATACCATGTCTTCGCTATTCTCGCAAGTTCTGTATGTAAGAGTGGTAGTAGCCAGTGACGTGCGGTCAGGGGAGGCATGGGAGGCAGTGCCTCACCCAGTCGAAGCACAATTACAAGACGAGTGAGTGATATAGCATCAGAGAAACGGGCCTGGATCAAAACCAAACTAGACAAGACAGACACAGTATCTGTGACTGTGGACATTTGGACAGATAGGATCATGCGTGGGTTTCTAGGGGTAACAGCCCACTTCATGGAGCTAGACAGAAGTTGCCATAGACTCCAAACTAATATGAAAACTTTCATTTCAGCTATTTGAGACTTGAGACTTGACTTGGACTTGGGACGAAAGACTTGGGACTTGACTTGGCATTGCTCCTCAAAGACTCGAGACTTGACTTGTACTCGCGCATAAAGACTCGAGACTTGACTTGGACTTGGAAAAAGTGACTGTAAACATCTCTGCTTCATTGAGATGAAGAGACTATTAAAACTAAAAGAAAATAAGGAATGCTTTTACAACAAAGTCATAGAACTTTTGGAGAAGGATCGGCACATGGACTTCATCTATAAGTAAAGGTAAGACTAAAAATACATTTTTTCAAAGTTTTTGTTTTTTAAAAATAAGATGGGAGCAAGTAGAAAAAATCAAGTATTTGATAACTACTTTGGCCTAAAATATTTTTTTCTTATCATTTTGATGGACAACCTTTGATTAAAGCACTAAAATGTAGTGCTTTAAGTATTTTTAAAAATGAATTTTTACTGAAAATAAAAATTATATTTGTCCTGCACTCATCTCTATACTTTAATTTGTTTATAACACTTGACGAGCTGGGAGCCCGTGTTCTTAAGCGTCCCTGCTGTGAGGCTGACTTTGCTGTCTGAACAAAGTTGATGAAAGCTTCAGCTGTTTCATTGGGGACTGATATGGCATTACTAAGAAGGCTAACAAGTGCTGGCATTAGTCTCTCTGGTTGGCCACAAATTAACACTTTTAAAACATTAATGTCAATCAATGGTCTTTCCATGGGACACTAATGGACAATTTGGGTAAGTTTACAGCTATAGCTACCCAACCATCATATGGAATGAGACTGCCATTTGCTGCAATGACCTTCAGTTTCTCCTCACCTAAGAAACCGGGTTAATACTTTAGTCAGGTAGGTATTCATCTTTCCAGACACAGCTGATTATACTGACTCGTGACCCAGAGTCGAGCAATGAGGTGACTGCTAAACCATTTAGATAGCTCTAGACTAAGGCCTTTTCCCCAATTAGACTAGCGAAAGCTCTAGCTTCAACTGCATGTGGTAATTCGGGGGAAGGCTGAGCTACTTGGGCACAGTGACTTGGTATGCTTGTCATTACTGAGGTTAAGGGTCAGGAAGGGCATGTTTTGTCAGTTTTTTGGCCTCTATTACTGCTTAGGACTCATTTCCAGACTCCACTAGATGTCCCTCTCCAACGGCCAGTTGGCATTTCCCTGTCTCTTGGCCGCCTCAGACAACCTGCTGCATGGTGTTCTTCCTCCCCACATGTGAAACAATGTTTGCAGTCTTATCTATCCTGTTCCACACAGCTTAGGCAACCCTAGGGTTTCCCCCCGTTTAGGTTGTGTCCTGTTTTTACTGTACTGGCGCCTATTATGAGTCAGCTGTTGGTGGTTTTGTTCTTGCATGTTCATAACCAGTTAGGTGAGTTCCTCAACTTTGGTTGTGAGGTCTGTCAGGGGATCTGAGTTTGTTTGTTTCGACTTGGTCTCTACACCCCCTTACTTTGGGCTAGGTCTCCACACAACATCAGACTTGAGCTGCGCGCTGTGTGGGTTTGTTACAGCCTGTCGGGAAGATCCAAGTCTTTTCAATCTCTCATTTTCTTCACTGGTGATCTTCATCCCATGACAAAGAATCATCTCATCAGTGACCCCACTGCTTGACAACAAAGGTTTGAGTTCTCTGCGTGTGTCAGTGTATTTGTGTCCAAAGCCTTGGTACACTGTATGTAGAAAAACAACTTGTACTGTAACCACAGAATATTTAATGTCAGTATCAGCCAGTTTTGATGTAAACAGGATGCGTTGTTTTATACCAATGACACAGTAGAGAAACTGTTGCCGTCTCGTTGTCATCCTGTTTCGTGCACATCAACTCTTGGAATAGCTCTGTGCGATTTTTTTCTCTTAGGTGGGTTTGGAGAAACCCCTTGAGTTCAGTCAACAATAGGTCATCTTTGTTTATCAAAATCTCTTTGAATATGCCTGGTTTTATGTTTTTGAGCACACCACGGACAATCTCTGGGACTTCATCTATAGGTAACCAGTACCTCCCTCCTAGTTGCTGATCAGCGTTATCATCGATGTCACTCGGCTTCTGAACCAATAGGTGCAAGAAGAATCCTGGACGAGCCCCCAAAAATCTGTAGCGCTGTGACGATTATTCTCTCATTATTTGAGTAGTTCGTTCTGTAATAATACTTACATATTTTAAGTATTCATTTATTGTAACAGAATCAATTCACATTGCAAGTAAGTTAATTCAAGTTTACACACTATAAACACAAACGGAAATATTCAACATGGCGCTTGTCGCTATAACCCATGAACTAAATAAACATGGCGGACTTGCCGTTATAACCCATAACCAAGACTGCGAATGTACTTATCCGTAACATCTGCATATTAGCACTAACTTCAAACATGCTGAACACTGTATCTTACATACAACTGATCCCCACACATTCAACAGTAACCCACAAATGTTCAGGAAGCCGAAAGAAAGACACTAAAATAGATAATTACCTACCTACGTTCACCGCCATTTTCTTAACTATCATAGTTACGTACTGTAACACTTACACTTACCACATATCACTGAAGACTCATATTACTTTAGAACGATGAGTTCCTAACCTGGGAATTTAATAAAGAAACCAGAAAACCGGACAGTTGTTGCTTGTTCTCCATCAACTTGGATTATAAATAATAATAATAAATAAAAATAATACAACTTTAATAAACTAAAAGTGTCCCAAAATGACTCTCGGAGGGAAAGCAACAACAAATATAATATTTCACCAAAACACTTATTTTGTGAGTATAACACTAACATTAAGCTTCTCTCCAGATCAAAACAGTCACTTTTCTCTTGAATGTGATCAATGTTTTGTGAGAATGAATTATGGGTCAGTTACTGAATGACATTTAAATAAAACAAAAATACCAGGACACTATAGACCAGCACATTATACTGTGTTGAGTTTATACTGAGCTTATAGCTCCCCATCCGGAAGGCTGAAGAGATTTATTCCTTGTTTTTAACTTGTGACACACACACATACACACACACCTGCAACTGATATAAGCGGTTCATTGTAATCAGAGGTGACAGAGGATTTCAGAAAACAGAAACAGTAAAGTAAATTGTCATGCTGGGTGGAATTTCCCCTGACATGCACCGGCCCAAAATAATATTTTCCATCAGATTCGTGTTCCCAAGCACTCAGGCAAAAAGTTTGTCTGCTGTGTGTGTGGGTATGTGCGCGTGTGTGCATGTGTACGTGTGTGCTGGCAGCTAATGAGAGCGTTAATCAGGACAGAAAAACAGATTAAATTAGCAATTCTAAATTCTGCTAAATAAAATTCCCTCTTTGAGCAGGAAACTAAAAATGTACAATATAAATCATTCATTAACATTTGGAGGTGTAGTCTGACATCCTAGTTGCACCTAAGAGGACATATGATAGACTTCACTTATCATTTCAACACAAAAATGTGTAAATAGAATACTTGGAACCATGTGCATTTCCACAGCAGGAGGCAGTATCAAATACTGGTTGGAAGTACCAGGACTGGTGTATGATTTCTGTAGTGCTGCGGGGGTCTAAGTATTCCAACAATTCCACCGTCCATCCACTTGTTGTTGCTCTGATTCACAGTCCATACAAGTTGTTATCGCCGCACTGGCCATCAGGGATTTTTGGAGGATTCAGGATCTGGTCAGGCACCCAGTGCCCTTCACATTGTGAAGGTTAAATTTATAGTTTGTCAC